GGAAAAAATCTATTAAAGGCCCATATTGGTTTTCATCAAGGCAAGAATACAAAGAAACCCAACTAAGCGCTAAGTTTACAAATGAGTATTTGATTAGTTGGATTTGATGAAAACCAATATGGCCTTTAATGGTTCTTTTTCCATATAAAAATGGAACCACTAAGTTTGCAAACGAGTATTTGGTTAGTTGGATTTCTTTGTATTGTTGCCTTGATTAAAACTAATGGGGGCCTTTAATAGTTCATTTTCCATATATAMTCGGTAATCTWGATTGGATCGGGCCARGTTTTCATTGTAATAAACTCATCAAAAAGACTAGATTTTAGTAACCGCTGTCAAAGCAATCAAGTAATACAGAAAAATATTAGTGAGAATCAAGTARAGTCGATTGAAATAGAAAAGTTATAAGTATTTGGGGTAACCAAGTTCATACCTGAATCTACCTTTTAGTTTGTTGAGCACACAACTTCTTTCTAGATAGGCAATTGCGTAAGGAGTTAATTCCTTCAAACATGACCTTGGTATCTGACAAGTTTGCAATCAGTATGTTTCTACGAAAATAAGATCATTGAATGAAAATACAAACATCATTCCCTTTTAATGATTGAGAAGCTCATGCCTCAATATAGCATACACACACACACACACACACACACACACATATATATATATATATATGTATTGTTTTCTTTCTCCCAATTATTAAATACCAAAAAAACACTCTGAATTTGAAGAGTTGAAGTGTGTTCCAACTTTCAATTTGAAGGCAAAGAGAAGCTCGGTATGACAGCATCAAGACCTTAACAAGTTCTTAGCGGTGACAATTCCAGGAATCAAGATACTACATAACARTGGGAGTGCAAAATAAGTATTCAAAAACAAAGGTTGCACCATCAAAGAGTTTATCAATACACAGTTTAATTACCTTTGGCATGCATCACCAGCACACACACGTACACACACACATTAAGGACAAAGTTCCAAGGTTACATATCTATAGAATTTCTCCATCGTTATCCAAGATCCATGTTTCTACAGATACTCTCTTAAATTCCTCTACACAAAACTTCTGACAAAAAGAAAAAAAATCATGTTGCACCAAATCATGAATCAGTCTGTGTTTCTCTTAATTAAACATCGAATCAAACATCTAACAAAAAGACCTAGGTGAACAGTGACGAGTCGATCCACAAGATGAGGAAATCGAAAAACTAACCTGACATCATATGCATCATCTGATCTCTCATAATCAGTCCAATCCACGAAGCATTGGGATCCTTTTATCAAGAAGGAGGAAGCGTCGACGAGTACATTGAAGACGGAAACAAAATCGAAATGAGACCACCGCGTGAACTCCCTAAATCCTATTTATAGGTTTGGTCAATTTGACTAATCAGACAGTTTTTTCTCTGGGTGGTCCCATTGGATTGATTTTGATCCTGATTGAAAAGATTAATCGCATTTAATTAATCATCATTAAATAACGTATAAAATTAATCGCATTTAATTTCAAGATTTTTTT